AGCAAACATGCTTGTAATAATTCTTTGCAAATGTAAGAAATCAAGTAGCTAAACCAACAAATTTCTTTTGTTGTAAATGTAATTTTACACAATGTCATTGCATTTTAATTTATTATAATAAGGTAATTATATGTTATTTTTGTCACTTAATTTGATGAAAATCCCCATGTGTAAGTGGCCATTATCAATTGATGTGAAATAGGTGCATCTAAGTTTTATTTGTACTCTCTCAAATCTCAATCAAGAAAATTTTTACTTCAGTTTTTCTCAATTGATAAAGAATATTTTTATTACAGTAAAAGCTGCTAACTACGATGGAGATTTCCCCGAACTCCCGGCGTGCTCGAAAGCCTCCGCCGCCGAAGAATTCCGACTTCTATTCCACAGTCGTAATAAAAGATGGTGCTGCATCAAGAGACCTCGAACCCGATCCAGAGTCATCGGATATATACTCCACAATGGTGTACAAAGACGACGTCGTTGAAGACGAGGAAGAATCGCTTCCTCCTTTATTAAAACACCTCCCGAAAGACTTTGGTGGAGGTGGTGATGACGTGGGAGATTCGGATGATGACGATTTCGGCGGATCGATTTCGGGAACTATGATCGTGAAAACTGATAGGAAGCGATCGAATTATTCGGAGAGTAATGTTGTGTCACCTTATGCGAAGCCTCGGAGCACGGGGATGCCGACCTGGGAGAGGAAAAGCCCAAGGGATAAAATTGGGAAGGAGGAAAATGTGGGTGATTTTTCGACGTTTGTAGTGAGGGAGGATGAAGACGAGGATGGGGAATTTGGGACGGTGGTAAGAAGTGTTGGTTCAGGTGGTGGGAGTGGAGGGGGGACGATGAGGAGGGCAGTGGAGAGCATGCAGAAGGTGGGGGAGGTGGGGATGAGGGGGTACGGGAGACAGAGGAAGAGTGGTGGCGAGAGTGGTAGTGAAGGGATTGGGCAAACGCAGGTTAGTGCGAAAATGTCATCGAGTTCTATACCTGATAGTGTCATCAGGGAGGATCCCTTCACGAAGTACGAATTGCTCCACGAACTTGGTAAATATTTGAGTTTTACTCCGAATTTATTTTTATTTATGGGTTGTGCCGATGTGAAAATGCTTTTGTTTGTTTGGAATAAGGAAGATGGATTATTTTGCTGAATTACATGTCTTTTTGGTAGTTTTGTAATGAAGATTTGAAATTTTTGGTACATGACCAAATAACAGTTTTCCATAATGTTTCAATAGGCTTTATTCTTCTCCCCTTTCCCAGAGTGGTGAAGAGGGATCCCCCATGCTTTGGAAGTCATACGAACTAAAGAATTAAAAACTTTCTACTGTATGTGCATTTAAATTTTAAAATTTGGCAGGATTTGAAATAATTTTCTAGCCGAATCTTAATTGCATGGGGTAACTTGGTTTGCCATTAAATGCCTGTCAAAATGAGTGCTGAAGCAATATTTTATCACTGAACGAATGAATTATGGAGGCAAGCCATAATGTGATGGACATCATTAATGTGAATCTGGGTAAATTTGAGCAAGGAGTAATGCTGTACACACAAAGGAAGCCCCTTTATCGTACATTGCAAAAAAAAAAATTTGAACCCTTTTACTTGTGCGCCTGGTTGCTTACTATGATTGAGCTTTCTTGTAGGCTTGGCTTTAATTTGAGGTTTATGAAATCTCTGTCTGTTTCTTTTACCATAGCACGTAGAAGAGCAAATATGTAGAGGAAATAAACTTATAGGATTTATACCAAGAAAAAAAAAGTTAAAATTTTTAGGTTCTGACAGAAGATTTCTATTCTTATGGAAATTTGGTTTTCTGCAAAATATTTTCCTTTTTTTTTACGTTATAATAGTGGATAAATGAGAATAAGATGTGTGAAGTTGATAGGTTTTGGCAATGAACAGGGAAGGGTTCATACGGGGCAGTCTACAAAGCTCGAGATGTAAGGACTTCAGAATTGGTTGCTATCAAAGTGATATCGTTATCTGAAGGGGTACTTGTTATATTCTTCAAATAATTGCATCTGATACTATATAGGCTTAATGAATAGAATATGAAGTTCGAAATCTCATGAATTTTACAGGAGGAGGGTTATGAAGAAATTCGTGGTGAAATTGAGATGTTGCAGCAATGTAGTCATCCTAATGTTGTTCGATATCTAGGGAGCTACCAAGGAGAAGAATATCTTTGGGTATGAAGATCATCGGCCTTTGAGTATATGATAATTTTTATCTTTTTTGGATGGTACCCAAACCATGATGATGCGTGTCCCCTTTGTAAATCAGATAACAACCGTTCATTATTCACTCTAATGAAATCTCTGGGGATTTTGTGTTTGTTGACAGATCGTAATGGAGTATTGTGGGGGCGGGAGTGTTGCTGACTTGATGAATGTTACTGACGAGCCTTTAGAGGAGTATCAAATAGCATATATTTGCAGAGAGGCATTGAAGGTATCATCATGTTGGCCTGTTATGTTTCAAAATGGAACCTTTTATCTTTATTAAGATCTGTATAACTATGTCCTGCAGAATGCTCTAACTGCTATTGAGTAATAGGGAATGCTATCTCTATAAGATAATGCTTCATCATCCAAGATTAAAACCTACAATGACTCGGCACGGATATTTTATTTTAGAGTTTAATTATCACTACCTGCTTTTCCATACTAATCCTCTTTTGCTGAAGTGCAAAAAGTAAGAGTACTTTGTCGATTATGCTGAAACTTTATATTGTCTAATGCAGGGTCTCTCATACTTGCACTCAATTTTCAAGGTACATAGAGACATTAAAGGTGGTAATATATTGTTGACTGAGCAAGGAGAGGTCAAATTGGGTGAGTTTTCATCAATAGTTATCGGCCAGGAATATCAAAATTTGGTCGACATTTTCATTTCCCTTTTTAGTTTGAATTAAACCGTTCCTTGTTTCTTTGGTGGACGACATAACCGAGTTGTCAATACTTGATCACGCCCTTCCGTTTTAAACAATATAACAATAATATTTTATTATATATTATGCCTATCATTGGTTACTGCAATTGTAATTTAGAATGATTATGCAGGTGATTTTGGAGTTGCTGCACAATTGACAAGAACTATGTCTAAACGAAACACGGTACACCTAACCCTTTTTTAATTATTTTGCATAAATCTTAGATTGGTGAAAATGATCTAACTTCAACTTGTTGCTGACGCTTCCTAGAAAATAAATAAAGAAATGAATATATAAGCCCAAAAGTACCAAGCTATTCTTCTTGATTCCTGCAATATTCTATTCTTCAGGGTTTTTGATCGTTAATGTTTGAAGAAACAATGAGCATAGGCGCTTGTGGTAGATGATTGTGAGGAGACATTCAAACATTTTATGGCCATGTTTGTTCTTTATACATATGCGAAACCCAACTTTCGTCATGCAAAAAAGAAAAATTTGTTGGTTGATCTAGTTAAGCCGGGTACCGTGTCATTATGCTTATCCTTAAGCAGGTTTGGGGGCTTAAGCAGGTGAAAATTGATTGAAGCATAGTTGATAATTATGCGTTGTTTAACTTTTGAGATCCTCAAAAAATGGAACATAAGAAACCTAACTCTACATATATTGATTGTCTGTAAAAGTAAATAGGAATGTGATGAAATTAATGTAGAATTTCATGATTATTTGCTGTCTTTGATGTACGATTTAGTCTTCTCTTTAATGTCCACTCTTTCTGCTGCACTAATTGTTCACTATTCTTTTAAATTTTGTCTCTTGAATTTCTTATTGTTAAAAGTGTTTATTTTCAGTTCATTGGTACACCGCATTGGATGGCTCCAGAAGTTATTCAAGAAAGCCGTTATGATGGCAAGGTAGCCTGCATGTTTTGATATGGACCTCTTCATATAGGCATCTCACATAGTACTAGAATAGAAAATAACTCATTTGAAGTAAATTCCAGCATTGAAGAAAATACCATAAATTTTAGTATGGATCAAGGCACCACACTCAAGATGGTCTTTATATTTACCATCCAGAGATAAGTATAACCATGGAAAAACATCATTATGATAGGAATTGCATGCACTGCTCTTGATAATCATTGAGTGAAGCACATGAAAGCATTGAAACTGCACTGGAAGTTGAAGATACATCACGTCCACCTGTATCTTCAGAGATAAAGAGTGAAGAAAATCTTGATAAGTCTTGACAAACTGAGAAGTACTCAACAGGAAACAGATTTAATATACAAATACCATGATAATGCTATTAAACATCCATTATTAGGCCCATGTTTAAGAATGAAAGGAAGTGGTTAGTCGGATTTGTACATTGTACATTTGGATGGACAAGTAGAAATAGGTGAGGGCTAATCTCAACGGGAAGAGTATCTTCAAATGAACCTAATGCTAGACTCAACCTCTTCTTTATTTTTAAAATCTTTCTTTAACTCATGAGAAGGTTCCTTATAGTGTCCCATTTCATCCTTAAGAAACCTTAATCTGATTTCTATTACTATCCAAGGCTTGTAGATAAGTTTTACTTAAAGATCAAGACAAGAATAAAGATTTTTCCAATTATTACGCCAATCTTATCTTTTCAAACATTTTCTGGTTAATAAATCAAATAATCTGTATAAACTGTAGAGACATACCAAGTTTTAAAATACATATAATTTCAAACCAAGCGTAAATAAGTGATTTTCTTAAATTCCTTCTTTCCCTTTCAATCAAATACTCGCAACTCATTACCTCAATTTGATTTTAGCTTCTAGATAACCTTGAAACTCAGATATCTAAATCTTATATAGATTGAAATAATCATCGAATTATAAAGTTTAATTTCAATTTTTTGGAGATAGTCGAAAATCAAGATATATTCTATTCTCTAAGAAAGGTAACTTTGGGGGATAACTTACTTGACAAGAAAGCTTAAAGTTGAGGACACCATAAATTAAAATTCATGATTGTCAAAAAATTGAAATACATACTTAATAGCTGAAAATATGCTATCCAATTCTTTGGCATTGCTAGTCATTTGATGGTACTTTATTGCTCGCAGTTGACATTGTATTCCTTCACTTAGGGAAGTGGCGTTATTGCTAACATCATATGACATTCTTCCTCAGGTGGATGTGTGGGCTCTGGGAGTGTCTGCGATTGAAATGGCAGAGGTATGTCCATAGATTTGGTCTAGCTATATCATAGTTGATATTTATTGGCCCTATCAGCAGTCCTCATCTCCTTGCTCTGGGTTTCCAGTTTTAATCCTTTTGAGTATTTTATTGATGCAGTATCAATACTGATGTATGGTTTGCTGACTCTTCAAACTTGTTTGAATTTCAGGGACTTCCTCCAAGAGCAACGGTTCATCCTATGAGGGTTAGTCCAAGAATTCAAGCATATATACATTTATATTACTTGTTTTGTCTAATGGTTCCATGGTTTTGCGTTATTAAATTGTGTGATTTTTACCGTATTACGTTTCGTAATTTTGTTTTATCACTTGTTAGGGTTTTATAGGAAAAACAATTATCACAATTGCATTTGTACCATCACATTGTGCATGCCTAATTTTATCATTTGATATTAAGAGGATTAACATATTTGAAACTTGTGATAGGTATTGTTTATGATTTCCATCGAACCTGCTCCAATGCTTGAGGATAAAGAAAAATGGTTCGTCTTTAATTCCTTGTTTTAGTTAATGAAATCTAAAAGTTTGCTTGGATAAATTGTTGAGTAATATATTCGGTTTATTTAGAAGTTTGCTGCCATTCATGCCATACTGCTACTGCTCCATTTTGCTTCCATGTCACTCCATCAAATACATCATTTATATGCTTTAGTGTGACACTAACATTGTTAGCCTTCTTCTTTGGTCCCATTAATGTTCAAAATCCGCATGTACTGAATGGAATCAATTGGAATATGATAAAACCCTAATTAAATTAAAGTGACTGCCAGCTGATTATACTGCCCACGCCATTCACAACATCATTCTAATATTCCTCATTTCTACTAATGGTCTTCAGTTCACCTACTTTTGCTAGTTTTTATTATGTCAACTATACTAATTCTAGTTGATGTAACGTATACTTTTTTTTTTTTAATTTACAATGTATTATAACACGCAAATATTTTTGTGATAATGCTCAGAATTAGCCATTTAGATCAATTAGTGACTGCCTATGCCTTCAGGAATTGTATGCTTCTTTCATTTTCTTGCTTGATATATGTTGCAAATTCTGTAGATGTAAGAATATTGATTGATTGTGGTACATAATAATTCAAAAAATGCAATCACTTTCACTTATCATAAATTCAAAGCTAATTATCTCAAGTGCATTACTTACATTGATGAAGAGCAATCTTTTTTCTGGTTCTGGAGCCAACATCCTCTTTATTAGGGTTGAGTTAAGTCCTTGCTTCTCCCCAGTTCCCTCAAATGTGAACTAGTGAAATGTTGAGTTTTAGTTTAGTGATTTGAATGAACTATCCTCCTGGCATCTGGGAGTTGGGAAGGTTCAGGAAAGGGGTAAAAATGTAAGATTAAGGTAAAGATGATTTCTTTTTAATGGGTGGAAACGAGATTATAAAATTATATTGCGGTACTTTTTCATTTGAAAATTGATTCTGTGTGTCTTCATGTTGTCAATTGGGACATTGATCTGCTGAGAGGCACCCAAGGTCCATGTTCTCACGGTTTTAGCAAACCAGAATGTTAGGGCTGTGATCACATGACTTTCATCATTAGGTTTCCGAAATTCCAGCCTTAAGTTGTGGAAAGATAACATAGAAAATTTTAGCTTTCAACCTCCTATTACATCTCAATATAATAGTTATGAAATCTATCTGCATTATATTTGTGATCTGGAGACTTAAAGTAATTTATGTTTCAGGTCACTTGTCTTCCATGACTTTGTTGCGAAGTGCCTTACAAAGGATCCCCGTCTTCGGCCCACAGCAGCTGAGATGCTGACGGTATTTCTTATCCATTTTTAGTTGTACATATTCAACTTACTCTGAGTCTATGTATATCATCTTAAGTAGACTGTTGTACATATTCAACTTACTCTGAGTCTGTATATCATCTTAAGTAGACTGACTGAGCATTTCATGATGTTTTTTCTTAGCCGTTTCTGTCGTACGTTTATTGCTTCGAATGATTAATTCTTTTCAGAAATTTCAATATTGAACCAGTGCTTCAATTAAATAGATATTTCCTCTGTTTTTTTTTTTTTCCACAAAATTCTGATGCACTTTGGATATAGACACTACAATTTATTTCCCCATGGTTAAAATTGTTCTAGAACACCTACCATCATGGGAGTGCCTCCTCCAAGGAATAGAGCGGAGACCTCTTGTATGTATATATGGGATTTCTCTTCAATCGGTTTCAATGGTTTAACCTCCTTTGTGTGCATTTGCATTGTAAGTATGAGAACACATGTAGTATGTCTATGAGTTATTGATCCCAAAATCTAAATTAAATTTATTTTATTTTCACCTGTAATTTGTCTTTTCAAAATCCAATTTCATATTTAACAGCATATAGCCACCAGATCGAAAAAGCAACAAAAGGTGTGGATGAATATCCAAAAGAATGCATCACACAAATGAACATGCAAGAGGAATTCACCAAAAAAGGACAAAAAGAAAAAAAAAAACAAGTGGGGAATTCATGGGGCCATAAGATGTTGAAATTATCTGCATAAATTTTTGTTAACTTTAAGTGTGTATTGGATTTGATTGCTATCTTTTGCTTCTTATCTCTTTCTCTGCCCTTTCTGTATGCAAGCACAAATTCATTGAAAAATGCAAAAATGAAGCTTCAGCTATGTTGCCAAAGATTGAAAAGGCAAAGCAAATCAGGGCATCAATGGCTCTGCAAGTACAGGATACAACATCAGGCACTCCATTACCAGGAGTTGGGGTAAGCTGATTTTTTTATTGTATCATTTTTCAAAATTAGTTCATTTCATTTTAGTTTTTTTAATCACGCGACTTTTTTTTCCTTGCATAAAATGTGAAAGGGAAAGGAGATCTTATCTTTCTCTCTTTTACACGCGCGCGCACACTTGCAATTTTCTTATATTGTTAGATTTACCACTAGTACTTTTTGTAGCCACTGGGAGATTCTACATCACATGAAGCTATTGTCAACACAGTTCCATCTAAGCGTCGTGATGATTTGCATGTTACAAATGGAACAATCGCTATCAGTGGTACGAATAAAGCACCACCTGATGGAGAGAAACCAGATGGAGAAGGTAATCATTTCTCTTGTACTCTAAAATGATTTGAGACTACCTCTCCACAAATAAGACCTTTGATTAATTGAGTTACTTAAAGATGAGGATGAATTTCTACCATGGTTTTTCTTTATAGGTAGCAACGCTTCTTAAGATACTTTTGGTTTTTGTTAAGAAAAGTATGGCATACCAAGAGGATCCTACTTGCACGTTTGCTTTATTTTCTGCTTTTTTCTAATTGTTTTTCTTTGCGGTCTTTCTTTGGGATAAAGATGCTTTGCCAGAAGGATTTAACGAAAAACTTAACATAATTGTATGTGGTAGTAGATATTTGGATGTAAAAGCTGACTATGTTTTAAACTATCCTATGATAGAATGACACGTGGCATTATGTCAAGCTTTAAGTCAATTTTGATGTTCATGTAGCATGATTGCTTTCTTTGAGGGTGGGATGACTGTTGGGGCTTTATTGGATTGAAATACGAATTTCTGAAGTTGCTAGTGAAATGACTTCAGATATAATCTTCCAGGTGACTTTGGGACTGTAATAGTTCACGACAGAGTTAAAACTGCTAAACCAGCTACTCAAACATTAAAAAGCATAAAAGAATCCCCTCCTGCTCTAAGGCATGCTGGAAGTCTTTCAGTCAGTGAAGTTGGAGATAAAGCAATTGACTCTTGGTATTCTTCTCTCTTAATTTCAAATTTTTTTCATGAGCACCTGATTACCAACCACCAGGAAAGAAAACACAGGCATATGATGCACTTCAAATCACTCGTGCACTATGGTTGTGCCTGTTAATCGTCTCTCTTTCCCATATTTACTCATTTTACTTGCATATAATGAGAAGTTGTTAAATCATTGGGATGAGTAGTAAATAAAGCAAATCAATACTCTCTCTCTCTTTTTTATTATTATTATTTTTGTAAAAAATATCTTTTAGTTTTTTCACTGGGAGTAGGAGGATATGAAGTTTTCTACTCATGATTTGTAAACTTAACTGCATGATCTTAATTTCCTTTTCTCTGTTCTTTATGTTTGCACCTTGCGTGAACTTCTTGCTAGGCTATCCAATTATTTATTGATGAGCCTTCATGAAATCTGAGGGGTTGCTTTGTGCTACATTTGTAACTCGACAAAATTGTCTATTGGCATATATTTGCATTCTGTTTACTTTCTTCTTCAAGTAAACTATTAAAGTATTTATCATCAAATAGAGTATTGTAAGTTCTGGCTTTTTATTTTTGTGTTTCACATTTTAATATCACCTTATTGAGTGTTGCAATTTCATAGTGTAATGAAGTTACTTCATATACTCGTGCAAACATAATGCGTGTCTTTAACTTCTGCACATAATTTTGAATGTGAATGAACTTATTCAAAAATTTATCGTGTAAGGATGGTCAATGTCCCAATTGGAGGATCTCAAGCATCTTCACCCATGTTTGTCTCACCCGAACAAAACCTCAAGACAAATAGTGTTCCCCAAGTAACTGCCAACAGCAATGTTGGCATCACTGGCGCTTCACTTGCTAATGAGACTGTCAGCAGAAAAGCTTTAGATAAGGTAATTTCTATCCTCAACTTTGAAATTTCACTGATAAATCTGTTCCTGCAAGCGATTTAAAAGACACAAGACTTTGACACTCTTTTTAAAAGCATGAGATTGATGAATTTAATTGACGTTGGCCATAGACAAGTATGCTATGTGAGTGCATTTGCAGGTGTGGGATTGTGAGGGTGCTGAATTGATTCCTTGAAGAAATGCAACTAAGATAGTTGCCGAAGCTGGTGAATAAATAATATAAAATCATATAATGCATAAAAGGGACAAAAACTGTACGAAAAAATCTACACATAATGATTGGAGTAGAATAAATTACTCAGGTAAATAATTCAGAAGTGCCTCATAATTATATGTTGGTGCAAGAAGTTAACACAGAGTGATGGTTGGGATGCTAGTGGGTACCAGTGCAGAGTGGGTTTGCTAGTTCTGGTTAACCCCTTATGTATCATACCACATATAACGGGTAAAGTAGTACGACCCATTTAGCGAAATCACATGATTGAGGTCACACCTGAAGCGTGATGCATAAGCCCACCTTATTTAAATTTTCATTATCCCAAAGTTACTTATGGAGTTGGAACTTTTAGATGCCCACTGATGGTATATCAGCAGATCTCCATTGCCACACTTACTTATTCGATGAGGACACTATATGTGAAGAAATGATCATTTTGATGCTGTAGTACCCTCTATTATCAATTGCCAAAATTAAATTTTAGCCTTTTAAACATCTAAAAACTACTAGTAGTAGCTTATCTGTTAATCAGCCTTCAACAGTATGTTTGCTTTTGCTGAACGCCGGTAAATAAGATATTGAAGGTGCTAAACAATTACATTATTGGTATCAAATAACTTTCAGTTGAGCATTGTGCATCAAGCTTTATCCTGTGTTATTTTAGTTTCATTCCTTGCCGCTTTTTCAAATGAATTTAGCTCCGTTCTTTCTTTTTTTGATTTTTCGTTCTGCTATTTCATTTACTTTTATGGTTGGTGATCTATTCTTATTCTGTTACTATCTCTGTGTTAGCTTTGGTCCATATACTCTGCCGGTAATACAGTCCCAATTCCATTTTTGAGGGCGACAGATATATCTCCCATTGCACTTCTGTCTGACAATGTTCTTGGAGGATGGCAGCAGGAGAGTGGTGGAATCGTAGCTATGGAAGCAATGCAGGAGCTTTTTACTGGCGATGCTCAGCCTAAGAAGGGTAGAAGTAGACAAAACGAGGTACTCATTTTTCTCCCCAATTATCTCTTTGTGATGATTTCTTATTTCTGTCTTTATGTAATGGCTTTGTGCAATACAGGTGCCCCTTCCACCTAGTGTATATCAAAGGCTTACTTCAAGTCCAACTCTAATGAATCTTGCACAGGCATTGGCATACCACAAAATGTACGACTTCATTTTCACCCTAAGAATGGAATATATTTCTCTCATAGCCATGCAAAAGTAGTAGTGTAAATTGGGCCTAGCTGACTAGTGCAAACTTTGCTTCACTTTCAGAAATGATGTACTTTTATAGCTTGAATATTTTGACTCAAATGATGTACATTTCCTGAAATTTTTCTTGTTCCAGGTGCTATGAAGAGATGCCACTTCAGGAAATGCAAGCAGCACAAGAGCAACAGACTATTCAAAACCTTTCTGATACTCTTCGAACTATTTTACGTTTATGAGTTTTCGAGTTTTTACCAGAAATGTTCATTGAATGCATTGGTCCACTATACTGAACGCTTGAAATGACAATTCGAGGACTTTGGTACATAGGTTTTTTTCCCCTCTTTAACAAACCATTGACTGTTGCTATTTATTGCTATCAGATTTGGGACGAAAAAGTACGCCAATTCATCCCATCCAGTGCTATTCCTCATAGCTGATAGATGTGCTGCTAACAAGGCCTACCTATTCTCCCAATACAATCCGGCTTTGTAGGGGCACATCATCAGGAATTTAGGGTAAACTTGAACAAGAGAGAAGTGAAAAAAGGGTGATGTACGAGCCATATGTCCATGTATTGCTCCTTTTAGAGGTGTGACTTACTCGATCATAAATTGTGGTGTTATTCATTTTTAATTTCAGAAACTTTGACCCAATTTGATATCTTGACCCATTGTGTTGACCTCGTCTTTCGTACGGTTGACGTGGACAGCAGATATTAGTCACACTCATGTTCTTTCAAGCTAATTCCAACACGTGTAGACTAATTGTCAATCAATAATAAAACGAGGTTTGAACATGTAAGAAACTTTATAACATGAGATAAATATGTTCAAGTTTCGACGAAATATATAAGATAAATTGCACGCTAATAAACGATCGATTAAGAGCCAAACTCAAGATCAAGATCACAGTCCAAACAAAAAATCAAAGATTAATAAAGATGAGGAGAATGTATGACTTGCAGTTGATATATTTACATTACCTCCAAAATGACACAAATGAGGAATATTTATAGTGCTACATGTGAAGTGGTGTCCATGGGATGGGGGGACACGTGGCCTCATCTCCCAAACTGAGACATTTTATTCTTGCTATCAATTTTGACTTTCCTAGCCTGTGGCATATTAAATGTCCCCAAAAAGGAGGCAGTCACCTTATAACCTATGGTGATAAGATTGACATTTCTACTTATTACAATAGTTCAATCAATCATTCTAAAAGGATTTCATAAATTCAAGATCTTCAAATGTGGAACGTCACCAGCCTTAGTGGAGCATGAGATTCTATTTCGTTGAATCTCGCTCGTTGGCAAAGAAGTTTCGGTTGGACCTCGAATTTGTCTTTAGTAGAAAGACTTCTACAATGGTCAGCCTCATGAATCGCTTCAATAAGAGTGAGTTTCAGTTGATCGAATTTAAATGGACTCTGATAAATTCTACTCCATGTGGGATGCCACATGACTTTGACGAAAGGACTTCGATAGGTCAACTAAGCCACGCGTGAGCTTAGGTTGCAAAACATAACACATTGCATCTGCAATTTAATAGTTGATAGTCTAAAAAGTTGAGCCACATAAAGAAAAGCAAATTGTGTTTTAAAAAAAAAAACAAATTCTTTTTCAATGTAAATTCATAGGGATTTAATGAGGCGATGTCCACAACACTCTAGATTGAAAAGCTCTATTGAAATAGTGATTCAAGAAAATAATATTTTCCTTTCGAATTTATATTCTTATTCAAATTTAAACATGATTTTATATGTATTTTAAGAAAATAACTTCTTGCCTATTTATTTGACATTAATGTCACTTAGATATAAAATCTTGAACTTCGGTGTCACTTAGATGACAATACATTAGAATGCATTGGAGATGCTCGACTTTCAAATATGAAAACATTGTAAAAAGAGTAGGAGTCAAAATGAAAATTTCGATAGTTGATTCCATGTCCCAAAAAAAGAAGAAAAAGTCAACTCAGCTGTGAAGTTAAAACTCCCAGTTAGATAAGGAAATCTTCCTTTCTTCCGATGGCGGCGCTATTTTTTCCCGGCGAAGTTGACGGCGATCGGTAAATCTCCCTTTTCCTTCTTCTTTGTAAATTTTATCTTTTCTTAAACAAAATTCAGAAATATTTCTCTGTATATACGGCGAATTACCAATAAAAATATTGGAGTTTAATCAATGTTGATGTAAATATATATATATAAAAAAAAGTTTAGTGTACTTGAATAAATTTGGTCTATAAAATGTGCATAATTTGGTTTGGGCTTTTCAGGTTATCGCGAATACAACGTTGAGTATTGCTGAGTGTCATTTATGAGATGAATATTTTCAAGCAATTAGTGCCCATTAATCGTGGGATAAGAGCTGCCCAGAAATCATATGAAGGTGATTTCTTTTAACTTCTTTTAGGGATTTGCGAATCATTATATAATTTCAGTTTTATTGAAAGTTTTGTATGCCCAGAAATCATTTAAAGGCCTGTGTTTGTAGTGACATGTCTCAAAAATATTAATACAATTATTTTGTGCATCCATGTGTTTTTGCATCTGAATCATCATAATAATGTGTTTAGCGAGCTTGCATCCACTCTTTTCTTTCTGACAAGTGAGGACGATTGATAGGGAGCAGCAACGTGATCCTCACAACCACGTAGTTAGTCTAGTTTTCTTGTTCCTACCCCTAAATCGTGATAATAGGGAACGCTAAAGCCATTCGCGAGGGAGTTCCGTTTAGCCCCGTTCCCAAGAGCGATTTCCTTCTTTAGGGACCTTTCATGCACTAATTTTGTGTGAGCTTCAATGGTCTCATCTGCAATATGAATCATCATGACAATTTGTGTGGCTTCTGTGTATGTGTTTCAATGTGTCAATTGGAACACCTTGTGTGTGAATCTTTCTAAATCTATTATCTTGGATGAAATTTTTAAATAACTAACTTGTATACATGTTTGCACCGTGCTCGTGTTATGTTATAGCATATGCTAACTGGATAAGTTGATCTTTTTAGAATGTTAGGTTTTTACAAAAGTAAATTGGTGATGCCGAAGCTAGGTATAGTTGCATGAAGTACTATACAAATATCATGCACATACTTTGTGCTCAGGGGTTGTATTTTCATTCTAGCAGCTGCTCTGTTTTTTACCGAAGCATTATGCTGCTAACTGAGTTTCCCATTATTCTAATAGTATGACTTATGAACTTGTTTAGTAATTTGTCATTGTTGGTATCAAAATTGATGCTATTGCCATTTCAGCCCTTTCTTGGTGCATGTTTGGCTATGCCTAAAAAGGTATACATTTAGTAACTTTTTTTTGCCAAACATACTCTGAAAACATTTCTGCATTCATTTGCAGCAGCAAGCTTTTGCTTTTCCCGTTATTTTCATGATAGTTCGGTGGAAGTTCACTCTGAAGAGCAGGAAGTGATAATTGCTGTGGGAAGTAATGTCGGGGATAGACTTCATAATTTTGACGAAGCCTTGCAGCAGATGAAGAAATCTGGCATCCAGATTACGAGGCATGGTTGTTTATATGAGACTGAGCCTGCTTATGTGACTGATCAGCCTCGCTTTCTGAATTCTGCAGTTAGAGGTGTTACAAAACTCCAACCTCATGAATTGTTAAAGGTTCTAAAGAAAATCGAGAGGGACATGGGTCGTACTGTTGGAATTAGGTATGGTCCAAGGCCGATTGATCTGGATATATTGTTTTATGGAAATCACACTGTTAACACTGATATTCTTACAATCCCGCATGAAAGAATTCAGGAGAGACCTTTTGTAATGGCTCCTTTAGTTGATCTATTGGGAACAGATACAGATGATTATACAATTAAATTGGAAATTTTATTTTCCAAACGTTCCGGTGGACTTTTTGAGACATGGGAGAAACTAGGCGGCGAATCACTCATTGGAAAGGACGGGATGGAAAGGGTTGTGCCTATTGCAAATCAGTTACAAAATTTGTCATCAAAAACCTCTATTATGGGTATCCTTAACGTGACCCCGGATAGTTTTAGCGATGGGGGAAAGTATTTATCCACACAGTCTGCCGTTTCTCAGGTTCAACTGATGCTATCAGAAGGGGCAGATATTATTGATTTAGGTGCACAATCAACCCGACCAAAGGCATCCAAGCTATCTGCCGAGGAAGAATTGGACCGTCTTATCCCTGTCCTAGAAGCAGTCAAAAATATGCCCGAGATGGAGGGAAAGCTTCTATCTGTGGATACATTCTATTCCCTGGTTGCTGCTGAAGCAGTCAGCAAGGGGGCTCATCTTGTCAATGATGTGTCAAGTGGACAGCTCGACTCAAGCATGCACAGTGTGGTTGCAACCCTCAAAGTTCCCTACATTGCAATGCATATGAGAGGCGATCCATCCACAATGCAGAATAGCGAGAACCTGGAATATGATGATGTCTGTAAGGAAGTTGCACACGAGCTATACACGCGGGTTATTGATGCAGAGTTATCAGGTATTCCGGCATGGAGGATTATTATTGATCCTGGAATTGGATTCTCAAAGAATACAGAACAAAATTTGGACATTCTTACAGGATTACCAATAATTCGATCTGAGATTGCTAGGAGGAGCTTGGCTGTGTCTCATGCTCCGTTATTAATAGGACCATCGAGAAAGAGATTCCTAGGTGAAGTATGTGCACGACCTGCAGCAGCCGAAAGAGATCCAGCAACCATTGCCGCCGTTGCTACTGGGGTTCTGGGGGGCGCAAATATTGTACGAGTGCACAATGTTAAAGATAATCGAGATGCTGTTAAGCTTTGTGATGCAATGATGGACAGGAAGAGATCTTATACATGTCAAGGAAAACATAACTAACATCATTGTTGTGTCTGTTATTAGTACTTGACTACTTTTTCATCCATGGCTCTCCTAGCTTGACATTTCACCATGAAGAATTGTTTGGTACACGTGATTGGATAAAATTATACAATATGATGAACACTCTCTTATGGGCATAATTTTATTTTGTTCCATCATTGTGAACGGTTGTTTAAGGCCACTAAGCATAGTTGTTTAAGGCCACTGCTTTTCGCTTAAAACGTATTAAAAATTTATGGGCAGATAGGAAAAACCTTTTGTCATATGATTAATGTTTGATAGGAAAGTCGTGAAATCTCCAGGCATAATTTTATTTTGTTCCATCATTGTGAATGGTTGTTTAAGGCCGCTGTTTTTTGCTTAAAACGTAGTAAAAATTTATGGGGCAGATGTGAAAAACTTCTTGTCATGATTAATGTTTGATAGAATCTAAATGTTGTCTATGAAGAAGCCACAATTCTTCAACACGCTGAATCTGCATTATGCATACTCGTAAAATACCGCGATGAAATTGCAACCAAGTTATAAGCTCGAAAGTTCCCAAACACAACGGTTCAAGTAAATAAAATCCATTAGGTTAACATCAATAGTAACTGCAGGCCCCCTTAAAAACATTTCACCTTCCCCCCCGCCCCCATGGAAAACCTGTCGCCTGCTGATTCAAAACTAAGCAGCATTCTGTTTCAATACCTCTGCTTCAGCCTTGGCCATGGGATCATCCTTGGCATCTTCTTCCTTTTCACCTTCTCGATCTTCGGCCATTTTCTTGCGGTGTAATTCTTCAGCTTCCTGCATTGCAGCCCGGTTCTCTGCTTGAAGCCGCTGCATTTCCTCCTCCTGCTGCTGTCTTTCGAACCATGTATCAGCATCCGCCCAAACTGTAGATTTAACCCAAAGTACGAGTTAGCATTAAATCAAATATTAAGAAACTGGCACCTCATTTCTTGAAAAATGATAAAAGGCAAGAAGGCAGACCACTGACTTCAAGAAAACCATAAAAATAAACCGAACCGTGTATCACGCATGTGAGCAGAATTATTAACACACATGGTACACCACACAAAGCATGCTGAAAGTTTGAATATGTGGGTGTCTTACATCGAATTCAGAAACAATTCACAGAAGATTATTAAACCTATAACTTCCAATTGAAAACAGTGAGTTGAAGTAATATTGAAAGATAAAGAACTGAAACTGACTAGATTTCTTTGTATATGCTGCAATATAAGTAAATACAAATGTAGATCCACCTCGTCTAATTACTTTTTAGTTGAGACCTGAATTCACCTCACGCCCTACACCACCCACATTGGCAGTAGGCAGTCAAGTCTCATTCGACGGCAACAAAGCAGACATTTTTACCCATAGACTAAATGAACATATTTCCTGTTTCTGGTTTCTTATTGCTAAGGACAATGGTATCTCGGCAAGATTAGACATTTAATATTTCAATGAAACTTCACAAAACAGGTAGAGCATGCAAAACTAACATGAATACCAGATACATTACAAAGACTCTTGATGTTTAAATGAATATTTATATTTACAGCAGCTCAAGAGACCTTCTAAAGCTAATATTCCTCCATACTTAATCGTGCCCCTCTCATATTTGCTCTAAGAACACAAACCAGCTCGGTATTGTATAAAGCTGCTCAATTATGAATTAGTATAATTTATTGCCAGTTAATTTTGGGAAAGAATTTCGAAAGGAAAATTTCTGTTCTATTGCACTAAACACATTTCAAGCATATTAGACCTTAAGATTAAGGAGAGCTTGAGTATGATTGTCTCTTTATTTATTTTTTGAGTGACGGAGAAAGACCCAGCTAGAAAATTTTCAATTCTACTAAAAAAAATTAATAAATTTGCAAACTGCAAAATGCAGGAAAGTTTTAGAAACCCTAAATCCAGAAAGCTAAAAAAATTTCAAAGAAAAACAAAGCAAAAATTTCTATGTTTGTGAGCTCAAATTCCAGCATCAAATATAAGCAATAAATGGAAAAATTCAATTAGAAGTCTAAGCATAGCATTTAAATAAATTAACAGAAAAAAGAGCCCCAAATTATAGTCCAGTTCAAAAAAACCAAAAGAATTTCCCTACACATTGACTCGAACAAATTATAGCTCAATAATTGGATGCCCACCCGCCAAAAAGAAACCCCAATTGGAATATCGAGCATAAATTGAAAACCCAACAATTTGTAGAACCCAAAATGCATTCAACAAAAATTTCCACACCAAATAACAAGAGAATAAAAAAATAAAAACTCACTAGGCTGGGCGGCCCATCCCTGTTCACCACCCTTGATTTTCTCGGGTAGCGCATAGTTAACGGTGAGTACACGGCCGTAAAGCTCCGCCCCATCCATATTGTCCATCGCGGCGGAGGCGTCCTCTCTCTCTAGGAAAGTGACGAACCCGAACGAGCGGTGCTTCTGCGTGGCCTGATCCAATGGTGTCTTCACATCCTTAATATCTCCAAAGGGTATGAACGCTGCGTGAAGGATGGATTCGTTCACTTCCTCCGCTAAACCACCCACGTACAAAGTGTTCTTCTGCACTCCCTGATTCATTATTGTATCATCAAACTATGATCAATTGCTCTTGGAATCTGAATTTATACTTCGACTT